TTCCTAGTGGGCGCCACAAGACTCGACATCCTCTCGCCTCAACATCTCATATCTCTCTCTCTCTCTCTCTCCCACTCTCTGTCTCTGTGCTGCTGCCTTAAGCGTGCCACATGGGCGAGCATAAGGCATTCAACTGTGTGCGTGTGTGTGTGTGTGTGAGAGTGTGTGTGCTTGGGCACATTTATTGATATGGGCGGCAGTCTGTCCGTCTGTCCGTCCATCCTTTTGTGTGTGTTTAGTTTAGTTTTATGGGGTGTCCGGTTGCCGTTCCACACAAACACACAACGCACAAGAAACGGCAAAGTGGTAGGGGAAGGGGAAGGAGAAGGGTCAGGGACTGTAGGAAGGACATGAATCGGAAGCCAAGTCAAACGAAGTTGGCTGTCCGCAAATTAGCATGATATGTGCGAGTGCGAGTGCGAGTAGTGGGCTACGTCCACGATTAGGCCCATCAAAGGATTAGGCAGTGACGCCCATAAAATAGGCATGCAGCACGCCACGGGACAAATGGTGAAAGGGTGTAAGGGTGAAAGGACGAAAGGACGAAAGGGTGAGCAAGGGGTGCATTGGATTCAAATCAGTCGGAATGGGTTCGTTTGTTTGCCTGTTGGCTGCTGCTAGGCAAGTCATGGCAAGGCCAAAGGTTCAAAAGTTTTGACACGCAATTACTTGAACACATGTGGGATAGGCCTGTCTGGGGAGGGCAACAACAACAGCAACAGCAACAACAACAACAACAACAACATTAACAAGAGCAAAAAGCACAAGCAGAAGCAGAGAAGCAAGCGATTGGGTTAGGCAAGCCAAGGGGCCAAGGGGCAAAGGGCAAGGGTTGTTAATATCATTTTAAGTGATTTTATGATGAATTTGTGCCCTAAAATTCCAGCTCATTTGCACACACACGCACACGCACACACACAGACACTCACACACGCATATACACATCATCAACAACATCATCATCAAGTCCGCCTACTTTTGTGGGTTTTTGCCTGAAAGTTAGGGTAAAAGTTTTAGTGTGAAATTTTCACAGTAATTTTATAGGCGCACTTAAGCGGTTTGCCTCTTGGCAACACTTCTAAATCCTGCCTTTGCCCCTGCCCCATACCCCCCTTCGCCCTCCCCTGCCCTGCCCTGCCCTGCCCTCTTCCTCTCCCCTTTTCTATTCGTTTCACATATCCCACAGTTGGTCGCTCTATTTAGCCTGTGAATATCTACATAAATGTGTGTGTGTGAGTGTGGTTTGTGGTATATGTGTAAGTGTTGATTTTGTGGCATTTCAGCCTTTTTGAACTTTGAACTTGTTGGTAGTTTTAAGGATTGTTTTGCCGCCTGCAGGATTCCTGATTATGGCCCATCATAGGCTAATTCCATTTGTGTGTGTGTGTGTGTGTGTATGGTGTGTGAATGTGTTAAATTGCTTGTGCTTCATGTTATATGCGTGTCTTTATTAGCGTGTGACAAATCATTTAACTCGTTAATCGTTTGTTTTTCACATCATTCATGTCATCAGACTCGAATTGACGGCTTCTTAATTTGCCTGTGAAAGTTTTGGCCAACTTGTTTATAATTAAAATCCCAGGGGGGGGTGGTGAGGTAGTGTGACACTTAAGTTCCAATAAGTGCGTACCTTATTAAAGATGTGTATTTTGAACTTGCTACACTCGGCACTCTGCACTTTAGAAAATCGCCCTGAAAACTATAAAGTTTTCCTTGTCCTTAGAAATCATTTTATAAATGTAAGGAAAACAAATTATACAAATTGTGAAAGCTTTTTCCAAAAATATATTCCATAGCAATAATAATTTTATTTAATTTTGTTATTTAATGTTGTTATTAAGGTGAACAAATAGTCCACAGTTCAACATTATTACAATACAAGTATCTTTATCAGAATCCACGATTCTCACTTCAACTTTGACACTCCAAATAATATTAAATAAAATGGAAAATTGTAAATTGAGGCTGAATTGTTGGCAATTGCTGGCCTGTTTGTACTACACTATAAATAAGTAAATGCATTTATATATATATATATATATATATTAAGCTATCTGGCTCAAAGGTTTACCTTGAACGCTGGCAAATAATCCATTTGTTCGCTTATACGACGATATGAGCAGAAGAGCTAAAAAGTTGAATAGTTGCTAAAAAAAAAAAAAAAATGAAAAAAATAAAATAAAAAAAGAGGATCACCTTGAGGCTTGAGGAGTTTGTTTGACTTTTGCAACCCAAAAAGGCCATCCAGCCAGCAAGCAAGCAAAGTGTGTCTTAACTTATTCACTCACTCATTTCAGTCCGTTTTGTGTATATACATATATATGCATATTCCACTTATTTATTTTGTCTTTTATTTCGTATCGTACTTTTGCTCGCTCTTCATTGATTAAGTGATACTAAATTAAAGGAACCCTCAACTCGTCTGCCTCGTCTACATGCGAACAAAACTAAAAACAAAAAAAAAAACAAAGCATTCAATTATTTTTCAAAGTGCAAGAGAAGCGCGCAAATAGAGCAAACACAGGCGGAGAGTAGAGAGTGGAGAGTGTAGAGTGGAGACGGGTGAGCGAGGGGAGACTCTGAGCAGTTGAGACGGGTGCATTGATCCCAAATCCACAGAACAGAGAGCCCCAAAAAAAAAAAAAAAAAAAAAAACTAAAATTCAATTTCGAAGCCGACATCTACGAAAAGCAAGAATGAGCCGAAAATGATGTGTGTGTGCGTGTGTGTCTGTGTGTGTGTGTGAGTTGTTTGCATGTATGCGAAAAGAATGTAAAGCGTATTCGAAAACAAAAATGTTATGCTGTGTAAATCTAAAGACCTTTTCCTGCACCACCACAGCAGCTTTGACTTTCAATCTGAGAATGCATAGGCTTGCATGTGTGTGTGTGTGTGTGTGTGTGTGTGTGAGTATGAAAAAACAAAGGAGAGAATGAAATTGAGAAGCTCTCTAAGCAGAAATCACCAGTAGGCAGTAGACAGTAGGCAGCAGCAGCGTGTATCCCCAATTCTCTCCATCTACATCTCCATCTCCTGCTCCATCTCCATCTCCCTCTCGCATAGTTGCAACGCTGATCTTGCGCACTTGTACAGTCAGCCAGGGGCTGCTGTAGTGCCTGCCTAAAGCTTTGGCTCCGTTCGAGCTTTCGATCTATGAGAAAGCTAATAGCTTACGGGACATTCAAGTTTTCTCTATTTGCATAGAAATGAAATGAGCTCTCGATTATTAGCTGGCATTTGGCACGAAAATGTTCAGTTCACTGTTGGGGGAGGGGAGAGGAGAGGAGGGATTTGGCTCGGAAATAGGCGGAAGCAACAGCAGCAGCCAAGCAAAACAAAAAGCAACAAGGGGCGGGGGACGCAAAGCAAAGTCACACTGCTGTTTATCGCCGCTGCTGAAACTGCGGTCTTTGAACTACCAAAAAAAAAAATAAATAAATAAAAAAAATATTAAAAATTCTGCTGCATGGAGCAAAGCAGCGAAACGGGGCGAAGCCAGGCGATCTATGTAAAGCTGCAGTCGCAGTTGCAGTCGCAGTTGCAGTCGCAGTTGCAGTCGGCAGCGCTGCCGACGTCGTTGCAGTCCAGGGGGCATCGATAGGGGTGCAAATGTGCTGGTGAGCCAAACACACACACACACACATACAGATCGCGCGAGAGAGAGAGAGAGAGAGAAAGAGTGAAAGAGAAACGGAGTGAAAGAGAGACAGTGAGAGATAGAGGCAACTTTTGCCAAAAAAATATCACTTTTTTTTGGCAAATACACTCAACTCTTATGAAGCTCGCTCTCTCTTGCTCTCTCTCTCTCTCTTTCTCTCTCTGTGTCTTCTTCTTTTGGAGAGAGAGAGTCGCATTCTGTAAGGAGGGGAAGATCGCAGTCAGTAGTTTGAAATATGCAAGCAAGCACACACACACATACACACACACACGCACACAGAGCCACGCAAACAAAGCTTTGTATTCATGCATGTGTGTGCGTGTGTATGTGTGTGCATACTCTGCTACCTCTCTCCCTCTCGCTCTTCCCAATGGGGCAACAGGCATCCATCCATTCGTACTTCCTAAATTCTCAGTGTGCCCTCGCTAGGTCGCTGCGCTGCGATCACAATTGCAAGCTTCCCTGTGTGTGTCTGTGTGTGTGTGTATGTGTGTGTGTGTGTGTGTGTGTGTGTGTAGAGAAACCTCAAAAAGTTGTACTGAAGCCGTTAACCTCGGCTACGCGTTCGTCGTCCGAGTTTGTTTTTGGAAATTATCAACGCCGTTCGCCGTTCGCCGTTCGGTTTTAGCGAACCGCAAGAGAAGAGCTTGTCGGGGGCAGGGGCAGCGGCAGGGGTAGGAACAAACTGCGACATTGATGATGATCGGCACATGTGCAGCGACAGAGTGGCAGAGGGGAGCGGGGAGGGGGGTAGAGCGAAGCGTGGGCAAGGGGTGAACGCTTAGCGACCATAATGTAAATAAATAAGTGAAGTCATTTGCTAAAATGTTGGGAGACGCAGCGCAACGCAACGCAACGAAGCACATGTGAAGCACAACAATAAAACAAGCAAAAACAGCAAGCATTTTAGTCACATGCACTGCAGCGAGTACACACAAACACACTCATTTCTCTCAGTGTGTGTGTGTGTGTGTGTGAATGCGCTGCACAAAAATTACACAAAAATTACGCAAAAAAAAGTAAAAAATATAAAATCAAGAAAAGAAGAAGAGATAAAAGACACACACACACAGATGCACACACACACACACACAGGCGCACACTTGCATAAACTTGTTGGAGAGCTTTTGTGTAAAAAGAACAAGATTTGTGAGTTGCAATATTTGGCACACACAAACGAGTTCCGGGCCTGCAACTGCGCTCCAAACGCACCCCCCTCCCCCTACCCCTGCCCCTCCCCCCCACACACACAAGACCCATTTGCCAGATCCACTTAGTTGCCGTCGAGAGCGCATTTTTGAACATTTTTTTGTTTTTTTTTTGTATTATTTTTTGGGCACAGCTTTCTATGCGTTGGCAGGGCGCGCAGGCGCATCACAGACTATGGGACATGGGACGAGTGACGAGTGACGCGGGGAGCATGCGGCGGATGGCGGGGTATGATCGACGACGAACGACAAAAGACGAGCGGCGAGTGGCGAAGGCAAACACGAAGCTGAAGCTGAAGACGAAGATGAAGATGATTCCCCATTGGCGTCGCCCTTAAATCATGTAAGCCTCTTCCTCAATGTGTGTATCTGTGTGTGTGTGTGTGTGTGTGTGTCGACAAATCTGTTTATATTTATGTATGTACATATGTGTGTATGTATGTATGTATGTATGTATGTATGTATGTATGTATATAGAGACTTGCATAAGGCGGCCGCGTTGAAAGTTTGAGTTTTCTTTGCTGTTTGCATTTTGCACTTTGCATTTGTTCGCCAGATTTGTTTGCTTTGTGCCGAATTTGTGCGCGATTTCTCTTTTTGAGTGTATTTTAAGGCACACACACACAGACACACAGACAGATACACACACAGACAGATACACACACAGACAGATACACACACAAACATGAGCACAACACAACAAAGCAATGACGAAGGAGCGTACTAGATCAGTGTAGAGAAGAGTAGAGTTGTCTAGTGTAGAGTAGATGTTGATGCTGGTAGATGAAAGCTTTCAAATGCGTTCCCTGAGAAACCTCTCAGAGGGTAAGCAATTGGAGTGTTGAAGAGTAATCGAATAGTGTAGAATAGAGTGGTGTAGAATAGAGTGGTGTAGAATAGAGTGGTGTAGAATAGATGTATGCATCCAAGCAGCCTGCAACTAAGTATGAAAGCTGCGACACAGACGCATTAGTTGCTGAAAGGTAAACAATTGGACTGATGGAGAGTAGTCGAGTGGAGAGGAGTGGTGCAGAGTGTAGAGATGTGTGTGGAGCAGGGTTCAATTAAGTATTTAGATTTGAAGCTTTGACAGACGCATTACTGCTTAGAGTCTAAACAGTTGAGTTCTTTTGACCAGGTGCTGCAGTTGGTTGCCGAGGGGGCTGCTGGGGATGCAGGGGGCGCAACTGTTGCAGCCGATTGAGATGCAGTGGTGCGAAAGCAATTTGAAATGTTTTGAACACAACTGCATAGAAAGCAAATGCGAGGGCGTGGCTGGCTAAAGCAGACACGCACACTAGCGCTATCTCTGCCCCGCCCCGCCCCCTCATCTCACCCACCCTCGCTCACTCGCCAGTCAAAAGCCCTTTTTCCGCGTCTAGTAAGTATTAAATTATTTTAAAAATATTAAAAAATGACACCTTTTTTTTTATAGCAACACAGAGTGAGAGAAAGATAGCGGGAGAGAGGGAGAGAGGAAGAGTGAGGCTGTTTATATGTATGTGTATAAGTACATCCTAGCTGCATATATAGATGTATATATGTGTGGGCATATGTGTGGGCAAATTAAATTGATAAATGCATACAAAAGAACACAATGAAAAATAAAAATAAAGGTAAAATCGCATTAAAATACAAAATAATAAAAATCTATAAGTAAATAACTAGGCGTAGGCACAGCAATTTAATGTTTATATAAGCCCACAGCATACAAAAAAAAAAAAAACAAAAAACAAACAAACAAAAGAACAAATTAAACTGTATGTGTGTGTGTGTGTCTGTGTGTGTGTGTGTGTGTGTGTGCATAATAGATAACTATACGCACTGGACATGCCAAAAAAAAAGAAAAAAAAAAAGAAAAAAAAAAGAAAAAAAAAGAAAAAGGCAAAATGCAACCACCGAAGCAACAAAATCGAACTTGGCGTATTTGGAATTTGGCTGTACGATCTCTCAGCTCTGCTCGGTTCCTTAACCATCGCTACATAGACATCTGCACACACACACGCACACACACACACACAGATGTGTATATGTATATGTTACACATACTCTGTGCTCCAATGCACGCATTTTTATATGCTATTCCTGACTGCTGACTGACTCTCTCTCTCTCTCTCTCTACCTCGCTCTCTCTCTCTCTGCTGCACACACTCTATCACTCTGTCACGCTCTCCCACTCTCACACTCACACTCACACTCACTCCCTCTCTCTCTCTCTCTCTCTTTATCTCGCTCCCTCGCTCGCTCTAACATACACAGCACATGCTGCAAAACAGAGCAGGAGAGTTTTGGGTACGCACTTTGCCTACGGTCCATCCGTCTATAACTACCCACCTCCACACTCCGCCCGTCGCCACTCCCCACTGGCCACTCTGCCCATGCCACGCACCAAACATTCTCGTGTACAGTGTAGAGAATGGGTTGATCGGGGCGTATGTGTAATTTGGCGCCACCCGGAAAGCGTTGTTGCAAAACAAAACAAAACAAAAAGTGAAAACAACACAAAAATAAGGCGAAAAAAATGATGTCAGTAGAGAAAACGAGCAAAACAACCAGAATAAAAATGAACCAAATGGAAATGCACACACAAATATGCGTGCGTATGCGTGTGTGTGTGTGTGCGTGTGCGTGTGTGTGTGTGTGTGTGGCTAACGAAATTGCAATGGCGGCCAGCACATCCGGGCTGGCTCTTTCCCAGTCCAGGCAGCCTCCGCGTTTGCATTTTATTTTCGTGCGTGTAATGCAATCGGCTGGACAAAGTGACAGTCTGTGTGTATCTGTGTGTGTGTGTGCGTGTGTGTGTGCGTGTGTGTGTATGTGCAAAGTTTTGGACATGCTTTTTAATTTTAATGCTGTCATTTTTGTTTTTTGTCACTTTTTTTCTGCAGCAGCAGCAGCAGCTATTTTTTCGTTTTATAAAATTTTTAGCCATTAATTTTTTATATTTATTTTTATTATTTTTCGCTTTGCCCAGGCATGGGCATTTTTGTACATAAGTAAATTATATGCACATGCTTGTGTGTGTGTTGGTGTGTGTGTGTGTGTGTGTGTGAGTCGCGTTGATGTTAATGTTAATGTATTACTTGGCAGCCCACACAGCATTAACCGTTGTTTGCATTTAGTTGCCCACATACTTGAATGTGTGTGTGTGTGTGTGTGCATGTGTAGATTGCATGCATGTACTTGAGCTACCCGTTTGCGGAATGTTGCGCATAGATGGCGCCAGTAGTCAGCTCATAATTAAGTTTAATCTTGTTATAATTCGATTTGCACCCAATTGCAGCGTGTGTGTGTGTGTTTATGGGTGTGTGTGTGTGTTTATGGGTGTGTGTGTGTGTTGCGTGTGTTGCGTGTAGAAGATGAGCTGCTTGCTGGGTGACAAATATATCTACTATTACTAAGTAGGCCGCTTCATGATCTCTGCTGCGTGAGTCACCCTGTGCTCTCTTCGACAACAACAACAGCCACAACAAGAAGAAGCACAAGCAAAGCAAAAAGCTTTCAAAGATGCGCTAGATGCAGCGCTCTTATTAAAAGAGATGTGTGTGAGAGAGAGAAAGAGAGAGAGAACGAACTTCCGTTTTCCATTTTACCATTTCCGCAGCCACAAATTTTGCGGCTGTTCGCTGAACTATTCCTATCACTCTTAACTCTCATATATATTTATATATTTTGGCGCATATATATTCTTGAACAGCATCAGAAGCAGAGTTCATTTAGACTGAGACTCCAAATTTGGATTATAAGTTTTCCTGTATGCCATATTTCATTTGATCGATAACTGCGCCCGTTTCGCAAATATTGATAAATATATCGATACCCATCGATGGCAATAGAGGCCAACATTTCAAGCTGGTTAATCAATGAGTATGAATGTGAGTATGAGTACGAGTATGAGTATGAGTGTGCGATGTTCATGTTCATGTTTCAAGTATTTGTTGCTTCTAATCGCAGCTGAGTTGCGTGCAACGTGACAAGAGTTGCACTTGCAAGTACGCAACAAGTCAGATATAACGGCAAAGATATGCCCCATGCCTTAAAAGGCCAATTAATATTCGTTTGCCACTTTGAATGCGTATTCACTTAAAATACTGAACAGCTAGATGGATAAACTGTACACATTTACAAATATGTAATGCCTCTCCCTCTCTCTCTCTATCTCTCTCTCTCTCTCTGTCTGTCTCTGTCTCCCTCTCTCTCTATCTCGCTCTCTATGTGTGTGTTTGGCTATGTGGATGGGGAATTATGTATTACTGATGTATTCCTGCAAATTTCATCATACATAGGCTGTAGGCCTATTAAACAAACATATTACCAACACCAACACACACACACACACACACACACACACACACACACACATACACACACTTACCGTTGCCTACTTGCGCCAATTGCAAAAAAAAACAACAACAAAAACACTCATACGCCGCGTTGGCTGCCCAAATTCGCTGCGACGCCCAAAAACAGGCAACACAAAAAAAAAACACACACAAAAAAGCACAAACACATAAATGCGCGTATGTACTTGTTTTTTAAGCCTAAGTATGTCTGTGTGTGTATGTGTGTGCGTGTGTGTGTGTGTGTGTGCGACATTGCATGTGCGTGCACATTTTAGCGCATTTTTATATAATTTCCACATTGTTGCCCTGCGTTTAATATTTATTTTGGTTGTTTTGTCCTCTTTTTTTTTTGCTGCTGCTGCTGCTGCTGCCACGACCTTGCCGCACCAAACCCGCTGGTTGCGCCGGCATTAACTTTGACTGCAGCAGCATCAGCAGCATCAGCAGCAGCAGCAGCAGCGGCTGCTGCAACTGCAACTGCAACTGCAAATGCATTTTATAAAATGTTTTTTTTGTTTTTTTTTTTTTGTTTTTGTGTAGGCGCATAAAAAACGCCCATAACTGCCACAGCGACTGGTCGAGTCGAGTCGAATCGAGTCGAGTTGAGTCGAGGCGACTCGAGTGGTTGAGTGCTCGGTCAGATAATCGTTGCTGCATGCGTGTGCATGCATTTTTTGGGGGTTGTTTTGCACACACACGCACAAAAAACGTGCAGCAAAATTTACAAAAAAAAAAAAAAAAACAGATATACATATATATATATATATATATATATATGAATATATATATTTATACATATATAGGGGAATACAATTTCTACATTTGTGTGTGCAATTTCACTTGGCTTATTTTTTAACATGTTTTTTTTTTTTTGGTTTTTGTCGATTTTTCTTCTAGTGGGTGGTAGGGGTGGTTGGGGGCGGGAGGGGTGGATTGACGCCGACAGCGACTGAACTGTGCGTGTGTGTGTGAGAGAGCGCAATGGGCCTCCCACATGTCTGGCATGTCCTTCGCCAGTGTCCTAGCTGGCAACTGCATTCAATGTCATTGCAGTGGCTCTGGCTGGGAAAAGGAAGCTAGGGGAAAGGGAGTCCGCTGTTGGGCGTCGAACGTTTGCTGACCAGACCACCCTGCTAGGCTTTCTAGGCTTTACAGCGACGGCGTTTTTGTTTTTTGCAACCTGCTCCTGCCGTTTATTTTTTTATATTTTATGTGTTACTTTGCTCGTTTTTTTTCTGTTTTTTTTTTTTGTTATTGTTTTTTTTTTTTTTTTTGGGCATCTCGCGTTGCATGCGTGCACTGCGTGCAAGAGCGAGCCGGCTGCAGTGGCATCATTGGGTTTTTCCTCTTTTTTTTGACTGCACTTTTTTTTTTTGTTTGTTTTTTTTTTTTTGGCGCTATTTTTGTTATATGGCTCGCAACTTTTTGATAGGCCTACTCACACGGCTCATTTTCGGTGGGGAGAGTGAGGGGGAGGGTGAGGGGAGGGGAGGGGATTTGAAAAGTTTGCCTATGTGTATGTGCGAGTAGAATAATCCGCAACTCCCTGCCCCAACCCGGTCTCTATTGTGTCGGCCAACTGTCAGTTGGCAGTGCGTAATTATTGGTGTTGCTTTGCTCTTGCGCCTGTGCTTCCATCGCTCGCTTTTCCGTTTGCCCCACTAGCGTGTGTGTGTGTGTGTGCCTGTGTGTGTGCCTGTGTGTGTGTATAGGCATTGTCCTTAACTAAGTAAATATAATGAGTTGCACAGTGGAGCTGGCCAACATCGATCAGTAAAGACATAAATTGTACCCGTGAACATAACACATAAAACACTTGAGAATTTGCTTATTGGGATTTAGGTAATTTTTATTTTTATTATTAATATAATTGTTATTATTATTATTATTATTTTATTTTACATTTTTCTGAATTTTGATTGTGCGTTTAAAATAACTTTTTGTGCAATAAATAAAATAAGGCAAAGCATTTATACATCTCCATTTGCTTAAATTATTATTATTGTTCTTATTATTATTATAATATGACAAGAAAACTACGCAATTCTAAACTTTTCATTATATGTTTTATGCCAATTGAAAAGTATTAAGTCACTCTTGCATTTTCAATCATTTCTTTATATTAATATCATCATTTTATTATATCATTTGTTTTTTTAGTTTTGGAAAAGAAAAACAGGAAAAGCTGATGACGAAATGAGTTTGTTGAAGGAGATACTTTTTGCTAATCGGAAGCTGGAGATCGCTGAGCGATCAGCGGCTACACAAAAAGTGTGCAAAATGCGGCACGTTGCACATTGTTGGGGCGAGCACAAGGGTTACAAATTTCAGAATTTTAGCAACGAATAAAACCCCAAAAAAAAGAAACCAACAAAAAACCAAAGTGTTTAACTTGATTTCCATTTGAAAGTGCCGTTGTTGCAGCAGCAGCAGCAGCAGCAGCAGCAGAGGCTGTCGCACGCACGCACGCGCTTTCTTGTTGGTGTTGGTGTTGGTGCAACTGCAACTGCAACTGGTGTTTGTGCATTATAGTTGTGCAAGTGTGTGCGTGTGAGCAAATGTATGTATTCAACAAAAATTATTGATAAAAAATAAAAAATAAAAAACAAAACAAAACAAAACAACAAAAAATGGTGCATTTATTTACGTGCGCATTTTGTTGCATTGGACAGCAGCAACAGCAGCAGCGGCGACAGCAGCAGCGGCGTTGACAACAGTATCGACAACGACGTCAACGTTGACGTCGGCAGCGCAGTCGGCGTTAGTGTCCACATAGGCCGAAAAAGGACGAGTTCGGCGCTCATTTGCCAGCACATATATAAATATATACATGCATAGGCAATATGTACAATATGCAATATATTCGAATGGGGGCATGGAAGGAGTAGAGTTGTAGAGCAGTAGAGGAGTGGCATGGGGCAAGGGGCAAGGGGCAAGGGGGCTATACGCAGGTATTGTGCACACATATTTTTATAGGGTTTCCATTGCATTTTTATTTAATTCTTTTTTGTTTTTATTCTCATCTTTTTTTTCGCTCATCTTTTTTTTTTTTGTATTTTTTTTTCTTTTTTGCAGCATTTGGATTACGCTTTGTTGCCTGCTCGCTGTGTTTTTGTGTTTCGTGTCGTGGATATGCTGGCCCCGGTGTGTGTGTGTGTGTGTGTGTGTGTGTGTGAGTGTGTTTCGTTTCATTTTTGTTGCTGCTGCTTGCCTCGATTTCTTTTTGCAGTGTGTGTTTTGGGCAGATTTTTATTTTTCGGTGGCAGCAGCAGCGCCGGCTCCGGCTCCGGCTTTGAATCTGTGGCGAGCTGTGGGGCAGCTGGAGGGGCGGCCGGCCGGCCTGCCGTTCGACTGCAGTTCAATGCAGCACGGCCGCGAAGGAGAGCAAGAGCAGGAGCAAAACAGAGCGAAAGAGAGAGAGACAAAGAGCGAGAGAGAGAGAGAGAGGGAGACCAAGCGAGCGTGTGCCAGAGCGAGAGAGAACGACGAGTTCGGCAGTGTTGGGCCGGAGCAGAGCTTGAGAGCTTTAAGTAGGGGTAGCCAAATTGAGCACGCACACACTTGCCTGCTGCGTGTGTGTGTGTGTGTGTGTGTGCGTTGGTGAAATGGACATGGACATCATCGTCGATGCTGCTGCCTGCTGCTGCTGCTGATGATGATGACGATGATGATGATGATGGGACGCTGCTCATTATGAGATTGCCTGCATATAATATGCAAGCCCCGCAGCGACTCAGAACGGACTTTGCCGTTGGAGCATTGACAACTGCAAGTTGACACACACACAGAGGCTCACACACGCACACACACACACACACACACACACAGAGAGAGGCTCACACGGACAGGCAGGCAGGCAGGCTACAAAATCGCCGCGACGCCGGCGTCAAATGCTGCAGCTGCGACGTCAACGACGACGACGACGACGACAGCGACGCTGATCTCAAAAAAAGTTTCTGGGCAACATTATTTTCGAATAGTTCAGATCCATTTAGATGAACATCAGTTAGCTATCGGATTGGACGTGCGTCGCAACCAACAGCCAACAGCCAACAGCCAACAAACCAAGCAGCAAGCCAAACAACCAACCAGCCAACCAGCAAGCAACCAACCAACAAGCAACCAACTCAGCTGGCCACAGACAACAACTAGCAACTAGCAACACTTGTGCCGGATTGAATTGGAGCGCCTCTCGAGGACGAGTCTGCTCGGAAAGGATTGAAGGTCCTGAAAGTCCTGGGACTGCAACTGCAATCACAATGCTAAACACAACTTGATTGTGTTGCACGTTGTTCCCTTGACGTTGCCACAACTCAAGAAAACCAAAAAAAAAAAAAAACCAACAACAACAACAACAAAATACAAAAGCAGGCAGCGAAAAACGCGTTACGATTTTTTTTTTTGTTCAAGTGCTCAGAAACAATTGTTCTCCTTAACTTTTTTTAATGTGAACTCCGAATTGTACCAGTGAATAGAGTCAAAGACAACAATAAACAAAAAGAAAAACGAAAAACGAAAAACGAAAAACGAAAAACCAATAAGATTATACGAAAAACAAGTTTAATCAACATTAACAAGTGAATGCCAAGTGTTATCTGCTGTTCCATGGACTATATGCCACACACATCGTGCCACGAACTCTAACTCACTCACTCAAATCAAATAACACAGAAACAAAGGTGGATCGACCACAGAAAGGCCTCAAACCCACCCCCCAACCTACCAGCCCCCGCCCCGCCCACAGGCGCAACTCAACTTGGATCTGAACCATCAGGTAGGTCCCTCCCCAATATCCAAGTTCCATATAAGTAAGTACACATCTTGACATTTGCAACTTTGCTCCTTGACATCCTTGTAGAGGATAGTTTGACTTGAAGGACAAGTCTCCGTCGATGCCATAAGGCGTATTTATAGTCCTAATCAGTGCCAGTAGTCGAGTATCTATATCCGATATATCTTTTTGCTGAAAGATCAGACCACTGATTCATACAGTTACAGCTTAGCAAGAATTGATCGAGAGATGATAGCTTAAATTAATCTCTCTCTTTCTCTCTCTTTCTCTCTCTTTCTCTCTCTCTCTCTCTCTGTCCTTGTTACTTGGGTTATCGGAATGTAAGTAAGGTCCTTGTGGCAAGCTTAGTAATTTATAGACCATCATCATTTCCGTTTTCATTTCCATTTCCGTTTCCGTTTCATGTGCAAAATATAAAATTCTGAAACCGTATCTAGCAATTAACAATAATTAGTAATAAGAGATGGTTCTACAGATGCACTCAGAGCACTCCGAAATTCGCCAAAGCTCATCTGATTATATTCGTAAAGCTTATTTCTGAGAACTAGGATTATCTTTATGCATTTCGTGTACCCTTTTTCTTGCCAGTAATTAACATTATTAAACATTGGCAAACACGACACAGACAAATATATTAGTTACTTTACAAGACTTTGCACAATTTAACAGTTTTGAAGATATTATTTGGAAAATACAAAACACAAAAAAGCTTTCTAGTTCTCTGGACGATTTTCTCAAATTCAGAGCGATTATTTTTCCGAGTGTACAATACTTATTGCTGAGCTTTCTATAACTTCAAGTTGCCAGTTGCCATTCTGCATATGTTTTACAATTTGACTGCTTTTTTTGTCATTCGGTTTTCTCAAAGCTCACCGATTCCATAATTATCTTGTAGTACTTGGTGATTTGCATTGTATATTTAGTATATATTTTTGTTAGATGTCAGCAGTTTAACTCCATTCCACAAAGATTTGGCTTGTTTTGTTGACAGAGACACAGAATTTGCGACTTCAAATTGGAGAATATCATTTCTCCTAAATAACAGGATCGTTTATAATGATATTCAGTTCGTTGTTTGTGTTTAAAAAGTAATGAAAAAATGTGTTGAATTTAGTCTTCCGATATTTAATTTGAATCGCTAAAAATGCGGTTGCGATACACATTCCAATTCCGATTCCGGTTTGACACGCTGCTTGTTACTCACCCGATTGATAATGCACATATATATATATATATACAAATTATTATAAATATTAAGATATTGTGTTTGTGTTTTCACACTTACCCAATTTCAAATGGATGATGATCATCGTGCTACAAATAGATAAGAATAGTCCAGATTAGAGCCTAACAATAATAAGCAATAAATCTATAAAGCTATCTACGCTTTCCATATACTAAATATATATATATATATACATACACATATCCAATATATAGGCAAGTGAGAGAGCAACAATAATATTTACTATGATAATAAACGCAAACACAAAACTCAACTCAGCTCAACTCAACTCAACTCAGCCACTCAACAAAAAAATGCCCATCGGCGTTACAAAATTACAAAGTTATAATAACAATAAGAAAAACATTTACTTTATCATTTTTGACACCCGGCCAAATTGTGGCTTGCAACAAAGGCAACAAAAATAAAATACAAAAAAAAAAATAGAACTGCACCCACTGCAACACAGCGTTGCATAGAAAACTACTAAAACGCCGCTTAACACGCGGAAACGAAAACTTCCCGTTGCCTCCAATGCCGCACAACCCCCTCCCTCCCTCCCCCCCTCCCCCTCTTCCTCATTCTCTCTTGCAACGTGGCATGTGCTGTGGTTGTCCAAATACAACATCTGCCCCAGCACCCATGCCACAGGGCACAAAAGCCATGCCATGGCATGCCCCAGTCCCTTCCCTGCTCCACCCCGCCCCCCAGTGGCTGCAACTCGTATTCGAGAGCCACTCTCCTCTGCCAACTGCGGCCAACGAAAAAAAAAAAGAAAAAAAGAAAAAAAAGAAAAAAATGTAAACATAGACAGAGTCAACAAAGTTGGCGAGTCCAGCTCCAGCTCCAGCTCCAGCTCCAGCTCCAGCTTCAGCCTCAGCTCCAACTGCAGTGCCTGCACCCAATCCCTAGCCCCTCTGTCCCTCTGTTCCTCTGTCTGTCTGTCTGTCTGTCTGACTCGGAGCGTATGCATAAATTGCTAAACAATCCGTGTTGCCTACTCAACGCTATTCAGTCGATTTGATGGCCTAATTGTAGGATCCATTTTGGCCCTTTTGGCCATAGCACACTTGAGCTGGGGCAGCAAGTGTGAGTGTTTAATCAACACCCACCAACCCCCTTGTTGCGTTGAAGTGCGTGCAACCGCTAATATGTGCCATTTAATATCAATTTGCAGTCGCGTTAAATCGCTGCTTATTAATTAAGCGAAAATTCAATTGAAAAGCAAAGTCGAAAGAAAAACCGACGGCGCACCAAAAAAATAAAAAAAAAACAGCAAATGCATTAAACAACTCGAAAGCTATGTAATGTGTGTGTGTGTGTGTGTGTGTGTGTGTGTGTGTGTGTGTGTGGGTGTAGGTGCACGAGATGTGTGAGTGTGTCGAGTTCTAAGCCCCACGCTGCCAAAACCAGTTCGCATTTAATTACGCAGCCTTTGTGCGTTTAATTGGCAGTAATCTAATTTAATGAGTTCAACTGCAGCGCTGCAAACATTCGTTTTTTTTTCTGTTCTTTTTTTTTTTTTTGTGGCTAATACACTCTATGTGTATGCTGCTCGCTTCTCGCTTCTCACTTCTCACTTCCCGCTGCTCGCTGCTGATATCTGACTTCTCGCTGTTCACTTCTCGCTTATCATTTCTCGCTTCTCATTCTATAACATTGAAATCAACTAAATGCTGAGAGTGTGCAGTGCAGACTTATGTATACATCTCGCTAATTAGTTCTCAGTTCTAACTACTCGCTACTCGCTGCTCACTACTCGCTGCTCACTACTCGCTGCTCACTACTCGCTGCTCACTACTCGCTGCTCACTACTCGCTTCTCGCATCTCACTTCTCGCTCCTCACTTCTCGCTCGGCACACTTCTCGCTGCTCACACGTCATCACAGCTAATTAGTCATTGTGGTGTCGAGCTTAGACATAGTTCTATATTACTCATAAGATATCTGATTTGGCCACAGCATTCACTAGAAACATTAGAGAGAAAAAAAACCCAACAAAATTCCAATGAATACAATCATTTGTGGTTATCATTCATTTGATATTCACTTGAATAGTGAATCGCTGCAGCTTTGTGCCGAATTTCAGTTCACTTCCTACTTTTGTGGCCAGTGAGACATAACCCATACGTATAAAGATGCTCCTATGCCCATTCCACATGCTGCCCCTGACCCCCCCTCCATCCAGACGATCGAGAACAAAACGGAGCAGAATACAGAAAACAGCACAACAATTGAGAGGCATCAACGAAATTCCAGCCAAAAATTGTCCGCA